ATATGAAATAAAGGCTGGAATCACACACCAGTCTGAATAGTGCATCTAATGTGTTATTCCTCATCGGGGTTGCATTCATTGGGCAGGAATGGGTAACACCATGGAAAAATGCCAGAGCACACAACTAAGTCTGGACTTTTGACACAAGAAGGATCCACCCCACAGAACCACAGAACAGTTTTAGGACAATAGGGAACTGCTGTACACTGGAATTAGACCAAGCATGATTCCTTTGCAGCCTTGCGTGGGATCCCTGGAACACTTAAAGATGTGTTTTCACTCCTAGTAGTCAATCCAGCATAATCCTGCTTAGCAGCCCCAAGCAGAAGAGATCTCTGTGTTCAGAAGCAATACTTCCAGGGCTGAATTAAATCCTAAGGATGAGAATCCTATGTTGTGGTGAGGTTTGCATAAGGTTCTGAATCTGATTGCAACTAATCGATGAGGTCCCAGATGTTACAGAATTTTGAATTTTGGTCAAATTCTTTTAGCTGTGCAGCAGAAATGCAGGGTTCCACAGAACAGAATGGTTTGGGTTCCCCAGAGTAGTCCATCCCCCCCCCATCAAATGGCACGTACAATCTCAATAACTCACTCTGAGACATTAGTAGGAGAAAGAATAAAAGGTTTACTTATGATTTACTTACGACTGAACGGCTCAAACAGTAAACTGTCAGTCAGTTGACTGCTTTCAACAACAGACCTCAACAGCTACTGCTTCCAACAGACAACGGAGGGTGGAAAACATACGGAGCAGAGAGGCAAGGCTCTCTTTCAAATGAGAGATAAGGAAGGAACAATTAGCGATGGACACACTGACAATCATCCAAGCCCAGGAAGCTCCCTTCAAGCCGAACCTACTTAAGGTAGCATGCGAGGTTGCAAATACCTCAACACCAGAAGGCTTCTCCATTGCACAGTTGGGCATGACTTCATCCAAGACCCTAAGCTGTGTCAAGTTTGAAAGACCACTCAGAATGTTATCCCAAAAATTGCCATATTCTTGCACAAAAAGAAATGCTGTAATATTATAATATTGTTGTACTGTAATTAGAGCTTCTGGTTCATTACTTGAAGCCCTAACCCGACAGTAGGTTTCTGTCAGTATATGAACGAAGGTGACATGAAGTAGAAAAGTAACAAAAATGGTCAATTCTGTACTTCAACAAATAGTCTGAACAGATAAATAACTTGAAAAGTTACTTTGCAACAGTAATTGGGTACAGTTCCACACTTAAAGCTGCCAAGGGCTGATAGTTACTCTTTTCAAGTTTCTCAGAACTAACCAAACTAGTTGATTCAAGCTACTTTTTAAAAAGAATTCAGTGTCACAAACCACTGGCTTAGAATACGAAACCCCATTTCCTCTTGGCCACCTTATTTCAGCACCTGCAATAAATCATAAAAATGACAGTGCTTGAATCTTGTAATATTCTTCCTTTAGTATTTAATGAGGTGAGGCCACAGCCCTGGAACATGAAATAAAACTAAATTAACTTTTTCTTTCTTCTTCATTCTTCCTTTCTAATTGTAGTTAATATAGTCAAACTTTGCTTACTGGGAAAAAGAATAATTACAAATAGTTATTTCTAACTTGTTACTTCCAATTTGGGGGATTAAGCCACACGGCAGACAATCTTCCTTAGGGATATGAGTGTGTTTTACTTCCTCTGGGAGCAATTCGCAGCACATAATGGAACATAAGAACAAGGAAGTCACCCACAGGAATAAAATTAAGTCCTGAAATAAGAGCTTAACTATCAGGGAGCCCATCTGCTTCTATGCCAAACTAAAGCCAAGCTGAAACACTCTCCAAGCTAAAATGATCGAATGATCCCTTTCTTGTTAACATTCTGCAGCAGCCTTTATGGCCCACACCCCAAAATAATCGTAGGGGTTTTTTTTCCAACTTGGTGACTAGGGTGCCTGCATGGGCTTCTTCTTCAGTTACAAAAAGGCTCTAGAAATATTTGGGAGTGAGCGAGATAGGGGAAGGCCATTTTCCTTTCTCCCTGTCTAACACAGGGTTTTTTTTAAAAAAAAAAGATCCATAGATGCTAAACATCCCTACAGGATTCGCAGGGTTGTCGTCAAAAAAGAAAAAGTAACTTTGGTGAGTTAACCCTGAGTGCTCCCTGGAAGGACAGATCCTGAAACTGAGGCTCCAATACTTCGGCCATCTCATGAGAAGACAGGACTCCCTGGAAACGACATTAATGTTGGGAAAGTGTGAAGGCAAGAGGAGAAGGGGACGACAGAGGATGAGATGGTTGGACAGTGTCATAGAAGCTACCAACATGAATTTGACCAAACTTTGGGAGGCAGTGGAAGACAGGAGGGCCTGGCGTGCTCTGGTCCATGGGGTCACGAAGAGTCGGACACGACTAAACGACTAAACAACAACAACTTTGGTGAGGCGGATGTTTCATGTGCAATTGGACTGTCAAAATGACCCAGGAATCTCAGTGACCTTTGTCTTCTGTGGCTTGCTTTCTGATTTTGAGCAATGCCTGCTTGTCCCAACTTTCTGACTGGGCTTCTCTCCTGGCTATCTTCTCACCCCTTTTCGGAGGTCTCTCAGCCTATCGACCGTTGTGATGCTCACAGAAGGAAATCCCTATGGAAGCAAATCGACAGTGAACCGCTTGTTTGTTTGGATCGAGCACGGTGGAAAAACGACAGTCAACGTGGTTCAGTCACCCCATAGCAGAGGAGGGAAAGGATGGGGCTGGATGTGGCAGCGACACATGGAATGGAAGGTGGGGGAGATGGAGGTTTGGGTGTGTGTGAAACGAACAGCAATCTGAATGCAATTAACAATGGCTTTGTCAGAAAAGTGATAAACGGCCCCAGAGGGATCAGCCTTGTTTCCTGTTAGAAAGCAGAACCCTGAAGCCAGAACTGCCCAAAGCCCCTCAGTGCCGAGGGTCGCGTCTGTGGAACAGAAGAAACCTTTTCTGTGCATAAACTGCCACACATTGCTGGAGGCTTGGGGATGTTACCTCTTGGACAACAGCTCCCAGCCAGCTAGCCAGCCACAGGCAACAGTGAAGAATTTTGGAAACACTATCAAATCTAAGGATCTGATCAATACCAGGACTATCCACACTACAGTATTTCCAGTCATCCCGTATGTCACCCCGTATGGGTGTGAAAACTGGACAGGAAAAAAAAGGCACAGAGAGAGAGAGAGAGAGAGAGAGAGAGAGAGACTGACTTGTTGGCAATGTAGTACTGGATACCCCGGACTGCCAGAAAGACGAACAAGAGTGTCCTAGATCAAACCAAGCCTCAACTTTCTCTGGAGGAAAAAAAAAATGTTGAAACTGAAGCTCTCGTCCTTTGGGCACATCAGGAGAAGGCAGGATTCTCCAGCAAAGACAATAATGTTGGAAAAGGTGGAAGGCAGCAGGAGAAGAGGAAGGCCAAATAGATGGACAGACTCCCTAAAGGAAGCCAGAGGCTTAAACTTACAAGAGCTGAGCAGGGCAGCCGACAACAGGACATTTTGGAGATGGGTCATTCATAGGGTTGAATATCTCTGGTCCTCCCCCCAAAAGTAGTAGCCTTCTAATATCTATCTATCTATCTATCTATCTATCTATCTATCTATCTATCTATCTATCTATCTATCTATCTATCTATCTATCTATCTATCTATCTATCTATCTATCTATCTATCTATCTATCTATTATACCATCCATTTAGCCAGCCAAAGGCCACCCTGGGCAGTTTACAACATACAGAACCACTTGACTAAAACACAGTCAACAGAACAAAAAAGAAAAAAAATAAAATGCAAATAAATAATTGCATCAACACATAAAACTACATTAGCATGAAAAATTCCAAACATTTAAGATGGCAGACATTGATCAGATAGGCTAGCTAAACTCAGCTGGTATAACCTTTTCAAAGGCCTGCCTAAATAACCTGGTTTTTAGGGGGGGTAGGTTTGTTTGTTTTTTAAACACCAGTGATACTACAGTGGGGCTCCCCTTCTTAAGGAATTCTGGGAACTGTAGTTTGGTGAGGGACTGGGAATGTTGGAGACCTCCGCCATGAACACCCCCTGAACTACAAATTCCAGGATTCTCTAGGACAGAGCAGCAACATTAGAAATACCATGTTTCCCCGAAAATAAGACCTAACCTGAAAAATAAGCCCTAGTGTGATTTTTTCGGGATGCTCGTCATAGAAGCCCTACCCCAAAAAATAAGCCCCAGTTCAATGAAACCCAGCCCTCCACCCTTGTGCAGCAACCAGAAGAAGAAGACAGGACTGTAAAATAAAACATCCCCTGAAAATAAGCCCTAACACGTTTTTTTTGGAGCAAAAATTAATATAAGACCCTGTCTTACACTCCCCCTAGGATGGAACTTTCCCTCCAAACCCATGACAGACAGGTACCATCAGTGCTGTATGTAACACAGGCTTTCTCAGATATTTTGTACATAAAGTTGCAATGAGGTTTAGAGAGTGAGAGAGAGAGAAAGGAAAGAGGATAGCTTATTATTGTGCTACAAATTACCTAAGGAAGATTTTTATTTTGGTTCTGCATGTGTGTGTATTTTTCTCTCTTCACGAGTGCCAGTGCTGTGTTCCCTTTTTCTCCCAAAATGTCATTTTGAACTGCCAACGGGGCAGTTTCCAACAGAGTAGATAACGTTCGTTCGTGGCAGTGATGGAGCAAAAGGTGGACGTGGTGCCTTGAAAGCCACCAGATTTACGACGGCATGATCTTTGGAACCTCTAAGGGCGTGGGCGGTGTATCCACAGAAGCCCAGTCGGTCATAAATCTCCTTGTCTTAAAGATGCTATGCTGCTTTTATTAAAAATCATTTAAAAGAATTCCTTCCTCGATCCATTTCTGATGCCAAAAGTTGTTGGCTCCCAGCGCTGCCGTTATTCTCAGG